AAAACATTTCAAATGTTTTTTTAAGATCCACTTGAATTCGTACTAAAAATTAATTTCAGAAACATTTTAACAAGAATAATTTTAGTCATTTTTTTTTTAGAAATGTAGTAGATTCATTAGAATAAAGAGCAAATGACATTGCAAGAAGTCAATTAAAGGAAAGCAAGACTCATCCACTAAATAAATCTAAGATTAGATTCAGAAGGGTGTCAAGCCAAGTACAGCACTGACTAACAATAAGACCGAGGCGAGCAAGTTTGTGGGCGGTTCAATCATGGTCTTAATATTCTCTATAATATGTTCAATAGTAGATAGATTAGTAGAAGGTCAGCGATTTCACAGTCTATAGCTAATCATACTCGGACATAATATTTTGATAACCCCTATCGAATCACACTCAAACAGAAATTGGTATTGAATTGAAATATGTCAACTATAAATTTCAAAATTAAAACTATGAGTATTTCGTGTTCAAATTAATTCTTCTTTCTTAATATAACTGAGTCTGCTGATAATAGTAATACCGATTGTAATTAAAAAAACTTCAACTAATGTATAAACACTAAACTTTTTTAACTATAATTTTTAAGGGTTTTTTTTTTCTAGTTTGTTGACAAGAAAGAATAGAAGCAACAACTATCTGTTTGATCCAGCAAGGCCATGTGGGTGTACGTTACTAATGCCTATATGAAAATAATTAAATTATTCAGACCAAAACCAAAATAATAATATTAATTAAATTAAAATATAGTATTAGTACGTCGACATTTTAACTGAGATTCTGACTGATTTCCGAGAATAAAAATTGCTAGGGTTTGATTAGAAAGATAGTCAATTTCTTGTCCCATGCAGATGCATTGCATAAATTTAGGACTGGGACCAATACGTTATTACTTACCTACCCCTCCTTCCCCTGCATTGACGGAGATGTATGCTCCGTAGGGTCGGTGTCGACGATGCGAGACTTTATGGGAGATTGAAGCGTATTTATGGAATTTCAATATATAGCTCCATTATGTATCAGTTATAACATAGGGAATTTTAACGAAAAGTTTTCGGTACTGTTCACTTAAAAGCAAGTCCATTCTTAAAAAAATGCATCAGCACTCAGTGAACAGTGATAGATCCTAATGAACAGTAATAGGTCAAATGTCTCTCCACCCCTAAAAAAAAAAAAGCATAGTCAATTTTATTAAAATATTATTATTTTTTTTATAAAATAATAATAAATAATAAATTTATTTTTGATTTCTGACTTTATAAAAAAATTATTAATTTCTGACATTTTATTTATTTTTAAAAAAAAATTTTGGTTGAAAAATCTAGACCGTTGATCTAAAAACCGAACGATCCTCATTGTCACGTCAGTAGCCATTAATTTTAAATTTCAAATTTTTTTTACTGTTGGAAATCCAACGAACAGAGAGGAGCCATGTGTCCCCACGCCGGAACCCCATAGTGCACCTGCACAGTGGGCCCCGCCTTTGTGACAATGTCGGCCACGCGTGCGTGTTTTCCACACGCCTAGAGCAAAAAAATTTAAAACGGCCTGTGACGTCACGCTGGCGTCAGCATGACGTCACATAGGTTGGGCCTTGGCTCAGCACATTTTGGCCCAGCCTATAGGATGACTTGGGCTATCAACTGGCCGAGTTGACTAGGTTGGAAGGAATTGGCTGGGTGTCGGGCTATCCACTCCCGGTGGATTTGCTCTTAACGAAAAACCACATTTTTCTACTAAAAAATTAATCCTGGTACTATTTACTTTATCATTTATTTTGTCCTTATAGTTAAAACTCAAAGCTTTCAAATCATTTTCATTAGTTTTCCTTATAACGAAATTATTATTGAATTCGTCGTTGTCATTCTTGAGAATCGGACTTAAAACATTACTTTCGAGTAAGGTTAGGTGAACCAACTTTTTAGAACACTTTTACAAATTTATGATGTGTCATTAATAGGAAATAAGCACGTTAATCAACAGTTAAGTAATAATTCAATCATTAACAGATACGTCATATGATTTACAAAATATAGCTTAAATAGATGATCTGAAGCATTATTAATTACTTTGTAACTTATAAGTGAAGAAAAATATAATTCTACGATAAAAATAAAATGACACGTAAACTTAACATAGAGTGTTGTTATGTCCTGTTACATGTCATGTTATCACTCTTACTCAATGGTCAATATTTAGGTTGGGGGTCAGATAATACTACGGTCTAGTGGTACTTCTCTTCACTTATAAGTGAGAGGTCTTAGGTTCGATTCTTGCCAAAGACGAATTTGAACCTTATTCTTGCTAGTCCATTGTGAGACTAAGCCCACTCATTTTCCCTTAGTGTAGATAATATCGTTTGTTAAAAAAAATAAAAATTTAAGTTGGGATGTATCTTCACGTCATCAGTTGGGCATCTTTCACAAAAGTTAAAAAGCTCATGTATTTTGGTTAGGTGTGGCCTCACATTGATCTACTGGGTGTGTGAGCTGTTTTAATCAGACAATACCAATGTTTCTTTTCTAAAAACAAGTTGCGAAACCAAACATAAGAATTAGAAATACAAGGGTACATGAAACTTAAATAAGATGATTATACTATTTTTTTTATTAGATTGATAACATTAATGAGTTAAATAGTTAATAGTTAGGGCATGAGAAATCGGTGTAAATAAAAAAAATACATAAACATAATTATTTTTTGCCACTGTAATAACGCGCCATCTGCAAATTAATTCTACCGATTTATTAAAGTTTCAAGTTCATTGTATTGCTTAAAAAATAATGGCTAGGATTTGAAAAATAATGATTGCACATAAACGTAGGTGTGAAGTTTTGTGCAGAGTTCAATGCAATGCAAAACACATAATCTTGTATATTGTAAGTTTGCGCGGCGTGGGAGGGACGATCAGATAACATGAGTATTTATTGTATCAGAATTTGCGTTGTTTACTTTGTACTTCATAATTTACTTTGCAAAACAATAAAATACAACATTCCCAACCAATCAATATGACCCTGGAAAGCAGTTTTTACTAAAACTCGAGCAGTTTCTTGAAAACTCGCTTAATCTTTGAAACTTTATTTTTTTAGTCGAAGATGAGAGAGGAGAGGAAGGAGTCGAACATGAATGTCTTACATGTTAGGGAAAAAATTATAATTAGACTAGTAACTAATTGATACGCTTGAAAATTGATGAACGTGATATAAAATTGGTAAACATTTACGAGCCTAAAGCCACAATAATTGATACAAAGCACACAAATGACCATTACGTGGAGGTCTCAAGTTCGACTTACTTGAATGATGAGTTTGACATCTAATTTTATTATTAGACCTTACATGTAAGAGAAGTACTTTTACAGCACAAATACACGTTCATTGTGTCTACAATTCAACGCCATATGACAAAATGAATTGCATATGTCGTTTTAGCACTGGCACAAAATGCTACAACAGAGTATACTCGTGTCATGTAAGTTAATTTCGGCTATTAACCCACCAAAACAAGGCCCTAGCAGTACTAACACCGTATAACACCCTTTGCTGCCATGAAGAGTCGAAGCTGCCGACCACGGGAGGATAAACGGCCACCATAGTCGTGTTATATACATCTTTTTCCTTCTCAGCTGCCTTGCAAACAGATCAAAAGGCAATGAGATACTGGAGATATAAGATAATTCCCGTAGCTTCAAACCCAAAACTGCATTCAACTATGCATTTGACCCTTTGGATTCCGGGAAGCACCCTGATACACCGGGAAGACAGCGCAAAAACAGAAAAAAAAATTTGGACCATTTCTCGATTTATGCGTGTCATCCTTGCGCAGGGGCCATGCTAATCTTCTCTGTATCGTTCCAATTTTATCGGATGTCCCCGAAGGGACAAGCTCTGTTCGGAAAGGAAAGGTATATAAAACATTCATAAATAGCAAGACTGGCCGATGTGGGACGAGTGTTGCTATGTTTTTAATACTTGGTTTTCCTTCTTCACCAGTCAGGACTCTGGCCCCAACCCAATCTCACGCACACAGGCCTAACTGGGCTTTTCCTTCGTGGGTTCGAATTAATTTGTTAATTTTAACTTACATACTCTTTTCCAATAAAATAAACTGGAAAAATCGTAGTTGGAGCTTTTTGAACTTTGAAAGTAATACGTCACAGCCCTCTCTTGCATGCTAAATGCGCACCTTTACGTTCACGCCAATCATACGAAGATTCGCGCTTGGCACCGTCATATAATGCTTTATACAGTGAGAATTATATGTTTCATCGTAAAATTACATGTTGATGCATAACTTATACATTAATGTTTTTCTTATGAGATATCATTTGAGTGACGTAGGAGCATGTTAACCATTAAGCTTAATATATGACAAGTTACAGAAGCCTAACACGGAGAAAATAAATTAAGCTTAATATATAATGTGGGACGTTGGATCAACACGCTAATTCTTCAATGTTCAATTCACTCTCAAAACTAGTTAATTCCTAGTCTTTTGGTTAATACAATACCTGCGACATGCAAACTTTATAAATACCCATATCATAACACGCAAAAGATAACAACCCGAACACTTTTCTTTGTGGATTCATGCTAAAAAACCTATGGAGCGTGGACCCCTCTCATTGCTAAAATGCGCCGAGGGCGACTACTGTAGCACTCCAGTCCTCTTGTACGGTACTGTTTGCAATCGGTGGAGTGGCCTCCCCAAAAAGGAATCATGGCTGTAATCTTTCATTGAAAGATTTTTCAGTGTAATCGTTATATGAGATGATATATTACGTGTCATTATATAAATAGTGCGATATATGTGTAAAAAAATTAATAACTTAAAAAATAAAAATTTTCACTACTTATATAAAAATAGTGTATCACTCGTGTTCCCGTCACAATTAAAATTTTCTATTCATGATCGTGAGTTGCTTCTTGGGCAAGTATTATAATAATGTTCCTGTGCTAAAATGCGCCTCCTCTCTCTCTCTCTCGTCCTTGGTTGCTTCTCTTTGTCTCTTGGGTCTCGAGCTCTTCTCTCTCTCCTTGCTTTCTCTCTCCTCTCTGCGTGCTTGGAGAGATGGTCTTCCATTTGAAAAGCATGGAAAAGGCGACATTCATTTGTTGAACAAGGTTCGAGTTTCTGTGACAACATTTTGAAAGCCCAAAACCCTGCTACTAGTAATATCAGTGATTGTCGTTTTTACTCCTGTCGTTTATTCTGGGCATGGCAAATCCCTGCTCCTCTTTCTCTCTCTACCCCTTTCTCTCTCTTAACAGTTTCCATGTCGGACCCATTCTTTATCTTGTCGTCTTGCTTTCCATTTTTTTTGAAAAATTATTTTATTTGTTTTGTGAAAGTTCAAATTTTTATGTAACCAAATAAAAAATGCTAAAATTTCAAAAACATCTCTGGAACTGCTTGGCAGGAAAAACACTTCTCCTGCAAAGCTGCTGTAAAACCCATTAATTTTTATTCCGGTTCTGTTTAGTTGTGGGAGATATGGAGATTTTGGGAAGTGAACCTTTTTTTTTTTACTGAGAGTTTTATTTTCTTTGGGGACTTTGAAGCACTGGAAGTGTGGATGCATGCAGTGCAAGGATAGCAGATTCATGATTTGGAGGATAAGAACCTTGAATTCATTGGTGAAAGATGCCAACTTTCTCTGTGTATGCTTGAAAATTCACTGAGAAAAAAGGTACCCACTTTACTTTTTCTCTTTTTCTGTTACTTCTACAACCTCTGAAGCCTTTTGGTTTACGAAAGATTTTGAATTTGTTAGCTTTTATTTATTTATTTTTATTCTCAGTGATCAGAATAAAGGAATGCATGTAATGGATGTTATGAAAAGCTTTGCTATTGTAATTTCAGTAAATAGGCAGAAGAAATTGTGTTTGTTTTGGTATAATTTGGTAATTTGGGAAGATGGGTTGTGCTGCATCTAGGATTGATAAGGAAGAGAGGGTGAGGGTTTGCAAGGAGAGAAAGAAGCTAATGAAACATTTGGTAGGTTTTAGAGGTGAATTTGCAGAGGCTCAGTTGGCTTATGTAAGATCATTGAGAAACACTGGAGCAGCACTTAGACAATTTACGGAGTCGGCGACGTTGGAGCTTGATAGTACTGCTCCCTACGGCTTGGAATTTCCAGCCTCATCGCCTCCCCATTTGCCTCCTTCCCCGCCACCACCACCACCTTTGAGCCCTGATTTGAGAAAGTTGTATGATAGTTACACAGAAGAAGTATGCATTGAGCTTACTAAGGATAATAGCAACACTCCACCACCTCCTCCAGGCCCTAGCTCGTCGTGGGAGTCTTGGGACCTCTTTGGCCCTTCTTCACTGGAGCATCATAAACATGATGAAATGGTGGAAACACTTGAGGAAAAATGGGAAGAGGCCAACATGGAATTTGAGGAAGACGAACAGGAAGAGCAAACGGTTGCTAATGCTGTGAATTCGCCACCTAAGAATCTGCAGCTTGCAGAACTCATCGTGGAGGATGTATCAGTGAAGAAGCGGCATACTTTGGACACTGCAGATATGCCCATGGTACTACGGAGATGCAAGAAGACCTTGGAGGGTATAGCTACGGTGTTAGATGATTATTTTCTGAAATCATCTGATGGTTTAAAGGAAATTGCTGTTCTTATGGACATCCAAGGAGGAGACACTTTTGAGCCACTCAGTACTAACGAAAGCAAATGTAAGATGTTGTTGATTTATGGATTTGGTTTCTCTTAAATGTTGTCTTCTTCTTGACAATTTTTTTTTTTACAGACACAAACTTTATAACAAAGTTGGAGAAAAAGTACTAGTAGCATGGTAGAGAACTTCGTAAAACTACATATACACTTCTAACTTGAAAATACATATCACATTGAAGTCAAAATTTCAAACGTATTAGTTCTCTACAACACTTTGTTATCGTGCAGCTTAACGCAGTCTCTATGCCTGTGCACTTGTGTTTACTGGCTGCTTCGCTTATTAGGCTCCTCCACATATTTTCTTTGCTGTACGATTTGCAGGGAAGAGTTCCAATTCCACAAAGGTCTTTAGTGCATTCCCATGGAGCTGGTCTTCTAGGTCGCTTCAATTTCCTAAAGATGCGGTTGAGTCTAGTGGTTCAAGTGAACCATGCAGGCCAGGAGCTCATTGCATCACACTGAAAAAATTATATGGTCACGAAAAGACACTTTACAAAGAAGTTAAGGTAAGAATGGTAATTGACGGTAGTGTATCCAGTGAAGATATTCAGAATGTGTATTTAAATATCACAAGCTAGGCCTTGTCCCCCTCCGAATTTAATCATTTTTATTGTGCAGGAGGAAGAGTTTATCAAATTTGAGCATGACAGAAAAACCAAATTACTACAAAAACTAGAGGATGAAAACAATGACTGGACCAGGACTGAGAAAATAAGGCTGAGCGTTGAGAGTTTGGAGTCTGAAATCTTACGTCTTCAGCACTCAATCAGCTCTACTTGTTCTTCTATAGTGAAGCTCATAGATAATGAGCTGTATCCTCAGTTGGTCAAGCTAACTACCGGGTATTGTTGAGATTATGAAAACCATTGTTTTGTCCTTGGTCTATAAAAATAACATGGATGCTATTCTATTAGCTTTAGATTATGGAGGACAGTAGAATGTATAAAGTACTCTTGATCACTCGGGGAAAATTGTCCTTCATGATGACGGAAATTATGATTTTTTTTCTGTTCTCATTCATCTCATTCACCATAGTTATCAGACAGTGATGATAGTGTATCCTCCTCTTGGTTCTATAAATTTCATTAGTACTCCTTCCTTCACACTTTCTTTTGCATACAGCAGGGTGTTTAGTAGTCTTTCTAGTCGATACCATAAAGTACTCTTGATCACTCGGGGAAAATTGTCCTTCATGATGAAGGAAATTATGACTTTTTTTTCTGTTCTCATTCATCTCATTCACCATAGTTATCAGACAGTGATGATATTGTATCCTCCTCTTGGTTCTGTAAATTTCATTAGTACTCCTTCCTTCACACTTTCTTTTGCATACAGCAGGGTGTTTAGTAGTCTTTCTAGTTGATACCAACCTAGTAGTGAGTACATGGAACAAGAGGTTGTTTTATCCCTAAGCACCCTTTTAATTGAAGAAAACCTTAATTTAATTGAACTTCATTTCTCTTCAGGATTAAAATTCCGTTACCTTGAACATGGATTCTCAACTGCCCTTCTACACATTTTAATGGAATGTGGTGAAACACTCCCCCGCTTATTTGTATCCTGAGATGTCTTTTTGCATGGCCCTCTTGCAGGCTTTTGCACTTGTGGAGAACAATGTATGAGTGTCACCGAGTTCAGCATTCTATCTCCCAGCAGTTGAATACTCTTACTGATATCCAAAAGCTAGACTTGAGTAGCAACTACCACCGCCAAGCAACAATTCAACTAGAAGCCGAGGTCTCTTGCTGGTACAACCACTTCTGCAAAGTCATAAAATCTCAACAAGAGTATGTTAGAACCCTCTCCAGGTGGATCCAACTTACCAACAGTCTTGTTGATGATGATCGAAAGAGTCTCTACTCATCTTCTATTTGTTGGATGTGTGAACAATGGAATCTTGCCTTTGAAAGATTACAGGATAAGGTACTTCTTTTGGCTATCACTGATTTTCCTGACAAGATTTTCAGTCTTTCGCACTTGTATAACAAAATACGAGTTGGACGCTTGCTGTGCAGAGGTAAAACATGTGGTTGAATTTTGACAGAAAAACAAATGTGCTTACATTTCTTGTTGCATCTTATGAGAATTGAGAAGTATTAAATTGAGTACTAGACGTTGAGGCATTAGGCAATCAAGATGTACTGAGATGTGGAAATTGGATGAATCAATTGTGCTTTAGATTAAGTGCAAATCCTCGTAAGTATCTTGAAGTTGAGAATAACTGATTACTTTTATGAACCATTTTATTCGTAACCTAGTTTGTGCCTGGCGTTGTACTTATAATTCTGAAACTATAAGTTACAAACTGTGCTGTTTTATGTGGGGAGCTATGATTTTTTATGCTTTTTATTTTTGCTTGCAGGAGGCAGCAGAAGCCATTAAGAGCCTTCTATCAGCCATCCGCTCAATTTTCATGCAGCAAGAAGAGGAGCACAATCTGCAGAAAAAATATGAAAAACTTGACAAAAGGCTGCAAAAGGAGTTATGTACATTAGCTGAGATGGAGGAAAAGAGCACTGCGGAAGATGGGTGTTCCGGTTTAGGCCCTAAGCATCCATTGTCACTGAAGCGCGCCAAAACTGAAGCCTTAAAGAAGCAAGTGGACAGCGAGAAGGCTAAATATCTCAACTCGGTCCAGGTTAGTAAGGCCATGACATTGGAAGACCTGAAAACGAGCCTTCCTAATGTATTCCAAGCGTTAATGACGTCTACAAGTCGCTATGTCGAAGCCGTTGAGGCTGTTTGTGGGCACATTATAACAGCTGATGGTTTTGATTCCAATTCTGAAACTGCACTGCGCCCAGCTTGATAGATTTATAATGGGGGGCTAGCAGGTTATCGGCGTAGTTGAAATTCCAATTCTGAAACTAGGAAATCAGCTATGCAGCATGTTTAGAGGAAACCGCAGCAGTGCAGAAAGAGAAAGGGACGTAAATGCCTTTGCTGGTGTCAATTCGCCGCCAAGAACAGTGAATGATGTTGGTGTCACAACAACTGGGATGCTGTTCAGTATAAAACTGTTAAACGGGCAAAACGGAGGCAGCTGGTCAGAGAAACTCTAAGATTACGAATGAGATAGTCCTCAGAAAATGTGTTATCCACTAAATCTATCGACGCAGTTGTGCTTTAGACGTTGCCGAAAAATTAGGGAGAAAAAAAACCTTTCAGGATGATTGTGTTGTGCATTACAGAAGATAGTAACTGTGCTTTAGGTGTTGTGCATGACATGCATTGTACCGGTAACTCGCGACTCTTGTCATGTCGGGACCAACATCAATGTTTTGGCATGCCACGATGCAAGAGTTAGTGTGTCATGCCATGCATTTTTCTAACACTTGACACGTTAACCTCGCATCATGGCACGCCAAAACATCACTGTTGGCATACGATGAGCATGCATTTTGCCAACGTTTTGCATGCTTGGCATGTGATGGGATGTTATGATATTAGGATGCCGTGACATGTATTGCCGACATCTAAATTATTCCGAAATAATAGGCTAAGTGTTGGAAAAATGTTGGCGTGCCATGATGTGTTAGCATAGCTAGAACTTGTTTTGACACCCTAACCATTGCATTGTGGCACGCCATAACAAGCATCGCAAATTGTTGACTGAATGCATGGTGTGTCATGACACGTATTTTGCCGACAATTTGAGACGCTTGTCATGTTAGGACCAACAACGATGTTTTGGCGTGCCACAATGCGAGGGTTAAAGTGCAATGCCATTCATTTTTCTAACACTTTGACACATAACCGTCATATCGTGGCATGCCCAAACATCGTTATTAGCCCCGACATTAGGCTCTTTTCTAAATTATTCCAAAATAGTAGGCAAAGTGTTGGCAAAATGCATGTAACAAAAATGATCTAGGAAAGAGTAGACCTCAGAGCCTAAAATTATTTTTTTGGAAATTACTACAACATAGTAGGCAATTATATATGAAGGGTTTTTACAAGTAAGAACACATCTACTGATTGAGTTGCAAACTCACAAAGATTATTATCGGTAAGAACGCTTGTAAATTTTCAGCTCTACTAATGAATGTGTTTTTACTGGTTGAACACGTGTAAATTTTTCAGCTCCACTAATGAACGTGTTCTTACCGGTGAGAACACGTTCATATATGACTAGTGTCCTGTTTTGTACTAATTTTTGGAAAAAAATAATTTTAGGCCCCAGAGTCTACTCTTTCCTAGATCTTTTTCCTTTTTAAATTATTCCAAAAGGCAAGGTGTTAGAAAAATGCATGTCATAACAAGCCTTGCGAGCTGACAACTGAATACATCATGAATTGTCGACAAAATGCATGACGTAAACCTTCACATAGTAGCACGCCATAAAAAGCATCATGAATTGTCGACATAATGCATGACGTGTCATGACATGCATTCTACCGACAATTTGTGACGCTTGTCATGTCAAGGTTAACATCGATGTTTTGGCATGCCATGATATGAGGGTTAGTGTGTCATGCCATGCATTTTGCTGACGTTTTGCGCGCTTGGCATGCGATGAGAATGTTATGGGATTAGGATGTCGTGACATGCATTGCTGACATCTAAATTATTCCGCTGTAAAGTGTTGACAAAATGATGGCATGCCACGATGCGAGTGTTAATGTAGCCATGACTTGTCTTGACACCCTAAGCCCCAATCGTGGAACACCAAACAAGCCTCACGAATTGTTAACAGAATGCATGGCTTGTCATGACATACATTTTGCCGACATTTCGCGACGCTTGTCATGTCGGGGGCCAACGTCGATGTTTTGGCGTGCCACGATGCAAAAGTTAGCATGTCATGCCATGCATTTTTTTAACACTTTGACACGCTAACTCTTGCATCGTGGCATGCCAAAACATCACTATTAGCCTCAACCTAGCCTTGCTTCTAAATTATTCCAAAATAGTAGGCAAAGTGTTGGCAAAATGCATGGAAAAAAAAAAAGATCTAGGAAACAGTAGACTTCGGAGTCTTAAATTATAATTTTGAAAATTACTACAACATAATAGGTAATTATGTATGAAAGGTTTTTACTGGTAAGAACACGTTCACTAATTGATCTGAAATTTTACAAAGGTTATTACCGGTGAGAATGCTTGTAAATTTTCAGCTCTAATAATAAACGTGTTCTTACTGGTAAAAACACGTATAAATTTGCAGCTTTACTAATGAACGTGTTTTTACCGGTAAGAACACGTTCATATATGACTGGCGTCCTATTTTGTACTAATATCTAAACTCGGTCCAGGTTAGCAAGGCCATGACATTGGAAAACCTGAAAACGAGCCTTCCTAATGTATTCCAAGCGTTAATGACGTCTTCGAGTCGCTATGTTGAAGCCATTGAGGCTGTTTGTGGGCACATTAAACCAACTGATGGTTTTGATTTCACTTCGGAAACTGCACTCCCCCCAACTTGATAGATGTATACAGGGGGGCTAGCAGGCTATCGGCGTAGTTGAAATTTCACTTCTGAAACTAGGTAATAAGCTAGATATCATGTTTAGAGGAAACCGCAGCGCTGCAAAAAAAAAAAAAAAAAAAAAAGAGAGGAAGGGACGTATAAATGCACTTGCAGGTGTCAATTCGCCGCCGAGAACAGTGAATGATGTTGGTGCCTCAACAACCGGGATGCTGTTCAGTATAAAACTGTTAAACTGGAAAACGGAGGCAGCTGGTCGATCAGAGAAACTCTAAGATTACGAATGAGATAGTCTGCGGAAACATGTTATCCACTGAATCTATCGACGCAATTGTGCTTTAGGTGGTGTTGAAAAATCAGGGAGAAAAGACTTCCAGGATGATGTGTTGTGCCTTACAGAAGACAGTAACTGCGCTTTACGGAACCTTGGCAGCTCATCATTTCTTATATATACCTTGAACTCGGTTTTGGAAACTTGTCTCCCAAGGCATAACATCCGCAACATTATTTGTTCAGATGAACGTGAGAAGGATTACTTTCAATGCGTGCCATCTAGAAATGTCAAGGGAAGCTGCAATCTACGTTTAGAGCATACCTGAAGTGCATTAGCATCTGTTGACATCGCATTGTTGATTTGATCCCCCTCACGAGCCATAGCGAACTGTTGTCACTGTCATACATCTTTTTCTCTACGTAACTTGGTAAGTGTTGTAGATTTTTAGAATAAGTTCTCGAGTAAGGTTTATTCTCGATTATAGATAAGAACCTGTATTATCGTGAGGTAAAATCTTAAGTGTAACTGGTTGTAGCGCTTATTTTTGTCTCTTCATCACATAACATGTCGTGTGATAAAAGAAACAGAGATATGCAAGCAATTTAGTACGAATTAGTTGGAGACTTGACCCACTTGTGCGTCTGAACAAGATATAAAAAGTGATGTATACATGCAAACACACCCCATTTCTTCTAACGCTCATGTTTATTTTTGACATTCAAGTTGAATAAATATCAAATAATTAAAGAAAATAAATGTTCGAAAAATCATTTTCAAAATACATTCACTTCGAATGTAGACGTTAATTAAGCTAGTTAAACAAAAGCCAGTGCCAACTCTCTTGTACCCAAGTTAAAGCCTCCCTCCTCATAAATTAGACTAGTTAACAATATCGCCCTATAAAGGTAAAAAACGAAATTAGAGACCGTAGTAAAAATCGAGTAACAATTAGTCATCTAAACTTCTTCACTAAGCCGGAGACAATTTTCCTAAATGTCAGCAATGGTCCCAGTCAATTCCGTCTTCAAAACCATTTTCCGGTTGCTGCAGCCGATTCCAAGCCAACTTGCTTATCACGGCAAGACCTGAAGTAAAGAACGTTTAAATGCAGGTCAGCTTTGGAAAACAGATGAAAACATACATTCAGAATCTACTTCTGATTGCGGAAATAATGTGGGTTGAGTAATCAAATGGAGCCACACGGTACCTTCAACCATTTTGTAGAGAGCTGACCACCACCCATCTCCAGAGAGCTGGTTTTGATCAAGAGACTCGTCGATCTCTTTATCATGCTTCCCTTCCAGAACTCCTCGGAGAGTGATCACTGCATCTTTCGTCTTCTTGAGGATGCTGTTCTCGTCTTCAGTTTCCATTCTGGGATGAAGTGAGGCTTACAGCTACAGCAAACTGAGCAGCTGCAGCCCAGCGAGAAGAGGCTAGCCATCTCTTCTATCCATCGACTTGTCCTGTTATCTTCTCTCACCAAACTGTTTTCTCCTTCCCCTCCAAGTACCAAGCTTCGTAAATACTGAGCATTCGCTGAGCCTGTACTTTGGACCATTTTGGAGAAAGCACTTCCTTCATTAGACAGCAGGTGCTCTGGTGTATCAAATTCTCGAACCTGCAAGCACAAAAAAATTAACAAAAACAAAAACACTTAAGCGTTTTAAGTCCAAAGGCTGCAAGGCTCAAGTATAATTGACTCAAATTTGCAATATGGATCCCATAAGACAGAATCCATAATCTTTCCACATTGTCACTCAGACATCAGCAGAAAAGAAAATAAAGAATGAGCTTAAGGAATTCTAACTGAAGCATACCTGGCCAGCATCAAGCAGAAGGATTCGGTTGCAGTCAATAATGGTATTCAGACGATGAGCAATGATGAGCATTGTACATGATTTAAATTCTTCACGAATAGTTTTTTGAATAAGAGCATCAGTTCTGACATCAACAGCTGCAGTTGCTTCATCAAGAACAAGTATTTTTGATCTTCGCAACAGTGCTCGAGAAAGACTTAATAGTTGTCGCTGTCCAACACTGAAATTATCTCCTGCCTCGAGACCTTGACATATCACAAGTCAGGTTAATATAATGAGACCGGAATCACATAAAGTAACCTCTAAATGAGGGAGAGCCTATATATAATGAGACCGAAATCACTGTCAAGTAAAGCAAAGTTGAGCATTTACCTCAGCATCTAATCCCAAAGAATTCCTCCTGATGGCATCCTTCAAATGTGCCCTCTCTAAAGCTTCCCAGAGGTCAGCATCATTATGTTCTTGAAAAGGATCGAGATTAAACCTCACAGTTCCTAAGAAAAATAGAAAAATAGGATCATTAGAATAAATGTACTTTATTAGGTGTTGGGAATAACTTCTTGTTACTCTTGACTAATATTATAGCTTGCTAAGTCAACGTGGCATGCTTGCATGTACCTGAAAAAAGAACCGGTGACTGAGGTATGATACCAAGAACTTTACGTAGATCTGACAGTCCAAACTTAGCGACATCACAATC